CCTGGGGAAGGATATCGTATTTAGTAAAGTGGAGGGTCAGAGAAAAAGAGGAAGACCCCCAATGAGATGTATTGGCACAGTGCCAACAGCAATGGGTTCAAACATAGGAATGATTGTGAAGTTGGCACAAGACTGGGCATGTTTCATTCTGTTGTACATAGGGTATCTAAGATTCAGTACCAAGTCAATGGCATGTAACAACAACAACTACTGTCACAGTACTTGGTATATTCTGCTATGATTATCTTTCTTTTCTATTAGATTGTATAACTCTTGAGTGCAGAGTGATGGTATCATTCATCTTTGTATCACAAACACTAAGTCTACTAAGCGTCTGAATAAGACCTCAACAAACAGTCTGTCAAATTGAAATGGAAGTAAATATATGTAATTGATATTAGTGATGGTGGATGGAAGGAAACGCAAGACACATCTTCATTGGTCTCCCTCTAGATAAACACCCTCTAATTTCTTATCGACTATACAGTTATTCTTAGAAAAAGTTTAAATGCATGACAGACTCCACTAAACAGTTAACTTATTAAATATTTCCTATCTTTTGATTCTTTTGTATTCTAAACTTCTATTTTTCTTCCTTTAACACAATTTAATGATTTCTCTTTTGCAATTATGCTTTTATTTCTCTCACTGCTAGCGTTTTGAATTTGACATTTAGTGCTTAGTATTTTAATATACTAGGTAATTTTCTTTCATCAATTAAACAATGCTCTGAGTAACCGTGACATATCTAAACATTAAGCTGTATAATAGAAAGATTACAAAGTTGAATATTACAAGGACCTGCCCTTGAGAAATTCACAGCTTATTGAAGAATAATTAAGTAGTTAAAAATAATTAAAACCAGAATGTCTAAGACCTAAATATGAAAGTCCATGAGAATAGAGAAAACAAAATGATTTGAGAATGACTTACAACTTAATGAATAGGAATAAAAGTTAAATAATTTATTTCTTATATTGATATTTACTTCTATTATTATTTCTGAATGATCAATTGTATAGTATCTAATAATTATTGAGCACCTACTTTTTACCATTCTAAAAATGTGTTACATGTTCAAAAATATTTAGTCTTCTTTAGCCCTTTATATCCAAGGGACTTCCAGAAGTTCATGGGAAAAAAAATGCTACTTTGTAAAATTCCATAAGAACAATTATTATTCCTATTTAAAAATGAGAAAACTAAAGTACAGCAAGACTAAGTAACTTCTCAAGGACAAAAAATAGTGGCAGCATTGAGATTCAAATTCAACAACTTTTTCTACAGACTCGTAGTTCCTGACCACTATTGTATAATGCCTCTTAGAGCAAATAAGACATTTTCTACATTATAAATTGATTGCTCTTACTTTATCTAACCCTTTGAAAGAAATCTGTCCTAATCTTGAAAACTCAAAAACTGTCTAGAATACTTCTCTTTGTCATTTCAGTGGAGGTGAATTTTTGCCTATGCAGTTAATACACCCACACTTCAAGAATAAAAGATTACTTGTGATTTCATCACATTTTAAGGACTCAGTAAAATGGCATAGACTTTGCAAATGTAGATGTGTAAATTGAAAACAAAAAGAATGTTGTGTACAGAACATTAACAACTGGGTTCTGTATTCCTTGCCCTTACTCTAGCATCATAGAGCAAGTATTTTGAGCTTGCTTCAGGCATAACTTTTCTAAAATTGTTCACAAAATCCACACAATATATTCTAATACACACCCAAATACCATTAATTGAGCTATATATTCTAACATTAAAAATGTTTTAATCTAATGCAGATTTTGATAAAGTTACTTGTACAGAAGATAATAATCATTTTCTATATTGGTGTTTGACAAGCTATGGACAACATTGAGAAGTATGAGTATTCCAGAACACTTAATTGTACTTCTGAGAAATCTGTACCTGGACCAAGAAGCAGTTGTTCGAACAGAACATGGGAACACTGAATGTTTTAAAATTGGGAAAGGTGTGCGACAAGGTTGTGTTCTTCCACTATACTTATTCAACCTGTATTCTGAGCAAATAATACGAGAAGCTGGGTTCTATGAAGAAAAACGTGGCGTCAGGATGGAGGAAGACTCATTAACAACCTGCAATATGCAGATGATACAACCTTGCTTGCTGAAAGTGAAGAGGACTTAAAACATTTACTGATGAAGATCAAAGAGCACAGCCTTCGGTATGGATTGAATCTCAATGTCAAAAAAACAAAAATCCTCACCACTGGACCAATAAACAACATTCTTATCAATGGAGAAAAGACTGAAGTTGTCAAGGACTTCATTCTTCTTAGATCAACTGTCAACACTCACGGAAGCAGCAGTCATGGAGTTGGTTCTGACTCACAGTGACCCTTGATAAAGTTTCTGAGCCTGTAAATCTTTTTGGAAGCAGAAAGCCTGATCTATAGTTTGTTATAATCCACACAGTCAAAAGTCTTTGCATAGTCAATAAACTACAGATAAACATCTTTCTGGTATTCTCTGCTTTCAGCTAAGATTCTTCTGACATCAGCAATGATATCTCTTATTCCCTGTCCTCTTTAGGATCTGGCTTGAGTTTTTCCGTCATTCCCTACTGCTGAATTGTTGCAGCCATTTTTGAAATATCTTCAGCAAGATTTTACTTGCATGTGGTATTAATGATTTTGTTCAATGATTTCTGCATCCTGTTGGGTCACCTCTCTTTGAAATAAGCACAATCAGTTAGCCAGTTAGCTGTCATCCAAATTCCTTGCCATAGATAAGTGAGCCCCTCCAGTGCTGCATCAGTTTTCTGAAAGATTATAATTTGTATTCTATCTAGTCCCAGAGCCCTTTTCTTTCTCAATGTCTTCAATGTATCTTGGACTTCTTCCTTTATTTCCATTGACTCTTGATCATATGCTAACTCTTGAAATGGTTGAACATCGACCATTTATTTATAGTTCTCAAGAAAAATACCTTAAGCATATGTTTATTTACTCAGTAAACATTTTTCTTAATGTGCTGGACTGCAAAGTTGGTTTGAACCACAAGATTGTTGGTTCAAGCTCACCAGTCACTTCTCTTAGAAACCCTATACATGGTCACTAATTGACTCAATGACACTTAGCAATAACAACAATAATGACACTAAAAACAAGAAGTCAAAAGTTAACTAAAATATTATTATAAATAAAAAAGTAAAAATTCTATGGATTAAAATCCTAAATAAAATCAAAAGAAAAACACCAAAGTAAGAAAAATTATTTGAGGCACATAAGATTAGAGGATAATCTTCATATTAAAAAATGTATACATCAATAAGAAATGGTTGCACAATGCAATTTGTTTTCTAATGGACAAATATTTTAACAACCAATTCAAAGAAAAAGTAAAATTCATCATTTAAAAATCTTTGAAAATATTATCTTCTCAATCTCACTTATAATGAAAGATGTACAAATATAAAGACCCCGCATCAGACTGTCAAACACTAAATGTTCCTCCTCACACTTTTCTCAATCCTCCTTATAATGTAAAACTTAGAGTTCTACTGAAACATTTCCTTTATAACTATCATCTTTATACCAAAGTGATTGCTCCCTCTTTGGATCTTATAGCAATAGTTACTGTTGTTATTTGAAATGAAGACTTATATTTGTTTATCTTTCTTACATGGTTTCTTACCTTTTAGTTTATATATAGCATATTTTCCCAACTAGATGTGAAAATAAATTGAAAAAATAATACACTTGAGGAGAGGCAGTAGGGTTAACCATCTTATTTATCAGTTTGTTATTCTCATATTGTTTCCCATAGTAAAATAATGTTGCATAAATGTATTTTGATTGATTGAAAGATAGTTGTAACTTCCCTCAATAGAGAGAGGATTGGGAGACACTAGAATAAGACATACTTGATGATTCCAAAACTAAAACACATGCTACCAGAGATGGTTCCTACAAGGGTTTGTCTTGCATTACAGGTCAGTTCTGATATTCAAGAGTAACAAACCTCAAGGTTATTCATTTCTCATAGACTTCACTACCAGATTCATAGATTTCCTCTTCATCCTTTCCTTAGTAACCAGTAACTTCACCATCTTTGCTAATCACTTCTAAAAAATTCTGGCCCTATCATGAGTACTTGTATCTACTCAACTTTAGGAACTGTCCATCATTCTCTGAAGTATTGACATTATATTTATCATATCAACTTGTTTTGTTGCTCCAGGGATAGACAATTTTTATATCTCTAGTTCTTTCCTGAAATATCACACACAACAAAAGGTAACTAACAAAGTAATAATATTTTGTAAATGCACTAAATTATAATTCACAAAGTGCTTATTAACAAACAAAATTCATTTCTATTACACAGAAAAAAATTGTTTTCCTAAAATGAGGCAGTGGCAAGACAATAATCAGGAAGATGGGGTAGAGAGAGAGAAAGCCATGAAATCTTCATCAAAAGGAGTTAAGAGTTAAGACATGAGTTGTCAGGTTACTCAGTTATATTGATGATCAACATTTATCATTCTCCCATGTTTCACCTTAGTTTAAAAATTCACAAACACTTTTGGAAAGTGGGAATGGTAGTTGTAAGGCATATCTCATCAAGTGAACACTGAAACAATGTGTAATGATAGCAAAAAAAAAACCCTTTTCCATCCACAAATCCCAGGGAATCCCAGATCCAGTTTTTAATAGTTTATGAGAACTTGGATAGTTACTTAACCTTACCAAACCTGTTTTCTAACGTCTCAGATGAAATTAGACTCTTCTCTTTGAAAAAAAGTTGATGGATTGTCTTAATAAAGTAGAACTATGACTATTGCAATATGACTGGTAAATTAGTTTTTCAGAAATTCATAAAGGACTGAGAGGCATTTATAGATACTTACAATAATAGCAAAATAAAAAACTCAAAGTACTGACAATTTCTGATTGACAAGATCATATAACATAATTCAGTGTCAGTCTTATATAAATAACTATATACTTGATTTAATAAGCTTACCTGTAACAAAAAATCAAAGAGAGCCATCTTGGACCACTCATGGTGATGTATTTCGGTACAACCCCATTCAGGTTTGGGTACACGGCCATTTTGCCAGCACTTCTGTTTTAGCAACAACTGATAAGTTCCCCAGGTGAGCTTCACAGAAGAGTGGGTCTCATTACTTGTTGGAGATAAAGATGAGTCCCAGAAAATGATAGGACATGGGCGGCCATCTAAGGAATCACAGAAAAAAAGAAACACACACACACACATTTAGCATGCTGATGACTCAGTAAGTGCCCTTAGGTCAAGCACCTTTCAGAGCCTCACTTTTTCACCTGTTGAAAGTGGGAGTTTGTCTTCTGAAGTTTTAATATGTTGATACCTTAATGATGCTTCCTATTAGAAGTCTCAAAAGAGGGATAGTTATTGTTAGAAAATGAAAAAAATAATAATCTTAAAAACTTAACAATTAAAAAAAAAGCAAGATGCTTTATAGATGCGGCAGGAATAGGTTACTAGCCACCAATAACGTTTTCTGCTTAATGTGGTTTTATTCCACATCTAAAAGCAGTCACCACAAAAATAGAAAGAATCCAGACATTTATAATTGTCTATTCAATGTCTAAGTAGAGCTGCTCTGTATTTGTAATAACAACTGTCTGATTATTTGAGGCCACATTATGATGTCAGGAAGAAAAAGAATTTTAAGAAGTTGTAAATTTAAAAGTGGAATTGTATGCTTCACACCACTCATTGTAATTGCCAAGGCAGGAAATAAAAGGCATAAGAGATTTTCTTTTTCTAATAGAAACTCTGCAAGCACAATGGCACTCTTGGTAATGGATCATTTATACACATATAACCTCACAATGTGTTTTAAGCCATGTCATTTCTTCAACTGCCTGAGCATATACTAGCCTTAAAAAAAAA